GCTCCTCGCACGACTCGTGACCCCTGCTCCCCACTCGCCCTGCCACCCCCCCCCGCCCCTGCAGCCTCTGTGATCCCTGCTCCCCACTCGCCAAACTGTTGCCAGCCCAGATGGGCCCCGAGGGGGCAACAGGGTTCGTTGTCCGGTGTGCGCCGCACCAATAGACGCACCGGGGTGGAGAAGCAAACAAAGTTTATTTGAGATCTCAAAGTGGTGCAGGGAGACAGGCACGTCTCAAATCAAGCACAGCACATACAAGCAAGTGTTCCCTTTTATATTCCAAGCTATTTGTGTGTAAGCTTTGTTCTGTTTTCTCCCTCAGACCCCTCCCTACCCAATAGCAGTTATGCAGGTACACATTGTGCATGTTAGAAACTTTCCGGTTCACATGCTTATCTTTGACCTTGCAAGCTCTACACACTAGGCCTTTCCCTCCCCCTTTTCCCCCGCATTATCACTACCGTTTCTGTTAGTGCGAGCAAAACTGCAGCTGTCTGCTAGAAAAGCTGACCATTACATATTCTGCTTCAGCATAGGCTGTTAGCATGGAAGTAGGTGAAAGTTCACAAGATGGAGTTCTGTGGTTCACTTAGACCCAGAGCAGGGAGGTTTCATCGGCACTTATGGCCTTCCACCCCCTCCCCCCGAGTTACCCGCTAGCTATGCCTAGTGACACCAACACCCCCACCGACCCTGCAGCCTCTGTGTCCCCGCCTGCCCAGCCCCTGCACCCCCGCTCACCCGGCAGTCTCTGCCTGGCGGGGGCTTCGGAGGCTCAGCGGCGACCGGGGCGGCGTGGGTCCCTGCAGCCCTGGCACACGCCACACTCCCCGCCGCCTCGCACGTTCCCCGGCCTGTCCCCGCTGGAACAGCTCCCGTGGCGCCGGGACCGCAGGAAGGGTCCCCCAGTGGCTGGGGGGTTCCCCCCCCGCGAGGGAAGCCTGAGCCGCTGGCTGGGCCCGGCCTCCCCGTGGTCCTGTGGGCTCGGCTGGGGTGGGTGGTCCGCCCGGCCTGCGAGGGCAGCAGTGGCCCCTCTGCCGCCTTGTGCTGCTGCGCGCCCCCCCCCCCCGCCCGAGCTCGCTACAATGTAGCCAGGGCGACTGGGCTGCGTTGCGGACCCGGCGGCTCGTGCTGGGGCCGGGCGGACCCTGGCTTATGTCTCCCTATTTCCCCGGACATGTCCGGCTTTTTGAAAATTCCCCCCGGACGGGGATTTGAGCACCAAAAAGCCGGACATGTCCGGGGAAATCCGGACGTATGGTAACCCTACTACTGCCTGATCGCTTTTCCTGGGTATTCTGCTAGTAATGTACACTGTCCTAGTGTGTTATGATCCCGCCTTGCCTAATTTTAATTTGGCTTCACTTGGTTGCAATTTCACTTTCTTTTCTTACATAATACCACTCTTTTTAGCCTAGCACATTCATCAATGCCTCCCCATCTATTTGGCATTCAGTTTCCTGCATGTGTGCCGCTGCCTTGTCTTTGCATCTGCTGCTAGTCTGAGCTTCACAAACCATTTAATTTTGCTGTTTTGCACTGCAGTACTGTCATGTGCAGAATCTCCTCCTCTGAGTCGCTGCTTGCTTCCTTGACATAGTACCTTCTTTTTGTTTTTTTTCTGCAAGCCTTTTTTTTTTCCGTCTGCTCCACTTTATGCTCTGCATTTGGAAATGAGCTGTAACACTACCTTTGCACGTGTCCCTCGCTCTTGATAGAGTTAGTGTGGGCTCTCTGAGCATTCTTTTTCAAGCTCCTTTTGTCCCATTACTAATCTATTAGTTATGTATGAGTCAGTCATTTTCACAACTTGGTAATATATTGATCTGTTTTTTTAGATTCTTGATTACACTTGTTGAAGAGAGATCTTTCATATCGTTTGGAACACTTCTCGTATTTTACATGGGTCTGCTGATGACATGTCCAGAAGCATTTGGAGCATGTGGTGGCCTTTGCCTCCCACCGTTAATAGTGAGGCTGCTCTTATTTTGTTTTCCTTTTTATCCAGTTTGTTGCAATTTTGTAGTTTTCCCTTGTGATCTAAAGAATGTCCAATTGCAAAACACATTGTCTGTCTTCTCTATCTGCTCAGAGACAGGAATCTGGTTTGCTGCCATGATTATCTATTTTTCTCTTTGAGTTGTTCTTTCTGATATACTTAGTTTCTGAATGCATTAACCTAGAGGGGTCCAATTCTCTTCTGACACCATGTTCAGCGTTCATATGTAAAAAGAGAGCAAGCCAAGACAGTGCAACATTCAGGCTATGTTCTTACATGTACAGTCTTCTCTCATTAAGCACTCCTTAAAGTAGTTCTATAGGTTCCCAGACATTGCCATATAGATAAGCTTAGCTATCTTACTAGGTGGCTTCCCAACAGGGCTGGCTCCAGGCACCAGCTTAACAAGCAGGTGCTTGGGGCGGCCAAGGGAGAGGGGCAGCACGTGCGGCAATTTGGGGGCGGCAGGTCCCTCACTCCCTCTAGGAGCGAAGGACCTGCCGCCGCCGATTGCGGCTTTTTTTTTTCTTTTTTTCCCCCAATTGCTGCCACCGGTCGTGATTGCGATCGCAGCATTTTTTTTTTTTGCTTGGGGCAGCAGAAATGCTGGAGCCCAGTAGGGAGCGATCTCTCATAACAGGCTACTATGAGATAAAATAATTAAGGGGAGATGATTTCTCTTCACCTTTTCTTCCTTCCTTTTGAACATTTCATGCTAGTGTCCCTTCTGCCCAGCTCTAGAAGCTGTTCAGATTGAAAGTAGAGATGCCAGAACACTTCTCAAAATATCAGAGATGCCCAGATATGGGAAACCATTCCCTATCAGAATCACTGCTTCTCAGGATCTAGCCCTCCATCCCATAAGCCTGGCCACCATCTTTGTTCCTAGATGTATGCATTTAGGTTTAGTCTCATTAAAACCTGTATTGTTTGCTTGCTTGCCCCCAGTTTACTAAACAATCCTGATGGCTGTGCATTAGTGACCTGTCTTCTTACTTATTTACCTCTCCCCCAATTTTTCTATCATGTGCAAATTTTATCAGTGATTTTGTTTCCTGACAGGTCATTGATTAAAAAGCTAAATAGTACAGAGCCAAGAACCGATCTCTGGAAAACCACTTGGGAAGCCAACCTGATTGATTGAGTCCCTGTTTACAGTTACATTTTGAGACCTATCTGTTAGCCAGTTTTTAACCCATTTAATGTGTGCCACGTTAATTTTATATTGTTCTAGGTTTTGTTTAACAAAATGCCATGTGGTACCAAGTCAAATGCCTTGAAGATGTCTAATATATTAAGCCAACATTATTACATTTAAGAACCAAACTTGTAATCTCATTAAAAAAAGCCATCAAGTTAGTTTGGCAGAACCTATTTCCCATAAACCCATGTTGATTTGCATTAATTTGCATTAATTAACAGAGTCCCATATCAGTTGCTCCATTATCTTGGCCGGGATTGACGTCAGGCCGAGAGGCCTATGATTACCCAGGTTTACCCTTTATAAAAATTGGCACAACACTTGCTTTCTCCTGGTCTTCTGGAACTTCCCCAGTGCCCCAAAACTTATTGAAAATCAATATTAACAATCCACCAAGCTCCTCAACCAGCCAAAGTCCACACATTGAACAATGAGGAGAAAACAAAATCAAACAGCTGTTCATTCACCAGCCATTTTGTGCACTGAATGAGACAGGGGTCCTGTGGAAAAAATGTGATCATATAATTCAATACTGTACCTTAATGCATATACACAAGGGCCCTGAATGGATTTGGCACAGTCTATCTTAATTCTGGCACTTCCTAACTATTGAGTGCTTCTCTTTTCAACCATAATGTGCTTTTAACAGAACTCGCGTGTGTGGTAGAGAATATAAATATATGGCCTTTGAGAGAAGAATGGAAAACATGAAGAGAAGGCAAAAATGTCCAATTAAAAAGATAATCAAAGGAAGCAATTACTTGGACAATCAAATGAATGGCAAGCAAGGCAGACTCAAAGTAAGGGCAATATATAATGGTAAAAGAGAAGAAAAAACGGAGTCCTTTTTCTTAACTCCATCCTTCATTAGGATCTGTCCTATCTGTACAACCGTCACTCAGCCACCAGTAAGACATACTTGTGGGTTTTGTGAAAGAAGGAAGGAAAAGAGCAGCAGCAACAACTCTGTGTGCTAGCCGAGTGAGTGAGTGAGTGCTGAAAGGAAGTATGGCTGCCTTGGCATCTGCTGATAAGAGAGGAGGTCCAGGGCAAGAGAAGTAGCTGCGGTTCTGTGAAGAATGGAAAAGTTAGAGTGGTTAGTGGTGTTCGTGAATTCCTTCACCTTCTGCAATGGTGAGTAAATGAAGACGTTTTCCATATTCAGAGACGGTTAATCTAAGTTCACATAGGTATGGACTTGATAAAAGATTTAAAACGTTAAAAGGCTGTGAAAACCAGTATCTCTTCTGTTCTACCAGCTTGGTTTTCAGTCACTTCAAATTCAAACCATGTAGAAAGTAGCAGCATATTATCCCCGGAGTGAAAATGCAGCTTGTATATTTCCAGTTCAGTCATTTTGCAACACATACAACAAGGAGAATGTAAGAAACAGCCCAGTATTGAGCAATTTGTCAGATTTAATGTACTCAGAGTAAGAATAAAATAAGACTGTCCAGGGTACTGGGAGAGTTTATTCTCTGGCATTTTAGCATCTTCAAAATTCATGTTGTGGTTGGAATAAGTTCATTCTTTTTGAACTTAGCTTTTCAGAATTGTACTAGTGTAGGGGTGGGCAAACTTTTTGGCCCTGAGGGTCACATCAGGGAATAGAAATTGTATGGCGGGCCATGAATGCTCATAAAATTGGTGTTGGGGTGTGGGTGTGGGCTCTGGGGTGAAGCTGGGGATGAGGAGTTTGGGATTGGGACCGAGGGGTTTGGAGGACGGGACGGGGATCGGGGATCCAGGAAGGGGTGCGGGTTCTGGCTGGGAGTGTGGGCTATGGGGTGGGCTGGGGATGAGAGGTTTGGAGTGCAGGAGGGTGCTCCGGGCTGGGATCGAGGGGTTTGGAGAGTGGGAGGGGGATCAGGGTTGGGGCGCAGGGAGAGGCTCAGGGGTGCAGGCTCCTAGCAGCACTTACCTCAAGCGTGGTGCGGCCCCCGACCCAGCGCTCCAGCCGGAGTGGGGTTGAGTCACGTGGTGCAGCCCCAACCTAGCACCCCAGCTGGAGCGACGGAGCCGGGCTGAGCCCCGTGGTCTGGCCCCCAACTCAGGGCCCTGTCCAGAGTGGGGCTGAGCCACGTGGGTACAGCCCCAGCCGTAGCACTGGAGCAGGGCCGAGCCACGTGGTGCGGCTCACGGGTCAGCTTAAAACGGCTCGTGGGCCAGATCCGGCACACAGGCCGTAATTTGCCCATCCCTCTACTAGTGGGTGTCATTGTAATTACAGTGCTAGCTATGGCTCTACATACAACTCTCCTCAAGACAGACTCTGATCTCCATAACTGTAAGATATTCTAGTCACACTGGTGTAATTGAGATCAGAATCTGAGCTGTCATTTTACATCGTGCTGCAGTTTCAAATGAAATGCACTTGCACTTCATCAGTAAATCTGCACTGAATGACAACGAACTTGGAAAACAGGATAAGGGGGAAATGTTGATACTGATTTGAAAGGGGTGTGTGTGTGTGTGTGTGTGTGTGTGAGCCCTGAGTTACTCCCATGTTTTAGGAAAGGATGTGGGGGAAGGCACCAGTCCTGGTTTGTGATGCAAAAGTAGAAGTTTAGATGTATGTGAACTCCTATTTCAGTTCCTTACTTGGAGTTCTGTTTTAAACTGAGTTAAAAGTAACAGGAGGTTTTCAGAAAAGGGGATCAGGGGGCTGGACTTTGAGGAAAATTCTGAAGTCACTTGCTAATGAGATGCAGCCGTTCTCAGACTATTTATGAGGCTGAAATTTGGACAGGCATCTGATAAACTGGAAGAGTGAGCCTCGATTCACAGAACTTGGAGATGAGATAAGAATTGTGGCTCCAAATGCAAACCTGCCCATAGTTCTGATCCAGTGTTCTGGTTGGGATTCGTCTTATAAAGATGGCCATGAACCAAGAAGACCAGATGCAGATCTGGACCTCCCCAAAGTTCAAGGAACTTCAGATCCATTGTTCCAGTTCACAGACCAAAGGCTAGTGACATTGCAAGAGAACTCATGACTTGTGTTCGAACTAATTAGGACAACATGCCTTGTGTGCATCAGCCTCTGAACATCTCTTTCTGCTCTATGGGGCACTTGAAGGAAGAGGGGGGGAAACTTTCTAACCAGCCGCATTAAGTTATGACAGGATCTGAGAGGCAATAACCATAATTCCTTTTCATGAGTAGAGCTCAAAGCACTTCACAATCTTTTCGTGTATGTATCCTCACCACAGTGAGACAGTGGTGTTATCTGCATCTTACAGAGAGGGAACTGAGTCAGAGAAATAATAAGTGGCTTGCCCAAGGTTACACATGAATTCCACGGTGGAGTAGGGAACTGAAGCCAGGTCTCCCACATCCTAAGCCAGTGCCCTATCCACTAGGTGTGACTAGGGAAACCAAGCAGTAGTGTTTGTCAAGAATAACTGTCTGTGCTTGCAGCTTAGTGGACTCCACCTGGATGTGCCTCTAGCACTGTTTGGTCTCACTGACATTCTCTCCTCTGTTCTTTTATTTCTACCCCTCATCTCCTGCTCTCCCTCTACAGCCATCCTGGAACTGACTGGCACCCACAACATTGAAGGGATATGGAAGAGTTC